CACTTTACTTCAAGAGGCTCATCAAGGAGTAGTATGTATATAAGGTAGTATATGCGGGAGAGGTCCGACAAATATGACGAGTGAGGCTGGGTACGTGTTCGGATTTGTTCGCGTTTTGGAGCCTTTTTGTGCGACGTGGAGCCGCATTGCTGTGAGAAATGACAAGCTTATCGCTTTCGACTAACGATAAGGTCGTTCCCAGCTCTTGGGGTACCTGATGGACTTGGTCCTACTTCGAAATTTACTCCTCTGCCGTAACCGTTTCACTAACCTTTCAAGAAGCTGTCGGTAAGGCCTAAAGCGGACCAACACGCACCCAGTATGACCTGCAGCTCGTATATTTTTGTCTTGAAGGATGGTGTCCCCTCAATGCGGTCCAAACTGAGCCGATCCTCTTTTATTAGCAGGAAGGGTCTAATTCTAATTTTCAGTCCTATGCTACAAAACTCTCAAATAGAATCGTTCGTTGCGCAAAAAAAGCGCCAATAGAATGAATGAATCATCATATATTGTCTATATCTTCTTTTCACACAAAAAGTGTAACATTATAACATAACAACACATAAAAAGTGTAACAACATTATAACACCCCCGCCAATGATTTGTTGCCAAAACTTGCACAGAAGAAGCAGCAGCAAGATTGAAATTAATTTTTGGACCACGCAATAGAATTAGTGACAGTACTGTACTGTCGGCTCGCCACACACAGTAGCGAAAAATTCAAAAAATCGGGAACTTGTTTATTTTTGGTCTATCGCAGTAATAGACGAGGAGATTAGTTCGAGTTTAATAATCAACTATGCAAGTGTAGTGCGGAAAACGAGAGCTCTATAATTTCTTAAAATCGGAAACAATGATGATAACTGCAATTTCTCAAATGACGTAATCGGAAACGTCCTGTCACCCCTCCCCCCTCATAACTACAATTTCTGCTCTTCAATATTTGTGTATTTCTGACATTTAGTTTGACTATTGAACTCTATGCACTTTTTCGATGGAATCACGCATAAATACAGTGAGAGCGGGGTTCGCGTGCAAGGATCAGCTATTCAGAGCAACGGTAGCCTGTTCGAGAGTGGATGGGAATCACGGCTCGCGTCTGATGTTGCTGGAGTCGTGTGCACGGCGCATTCACGGTTTATTGCGATAGAGATGTGAGCTTGAGATATAGTAGCGCTCAAAAGTGTTCGGCCAAATGCTTTTTCGACCGTAACTTTCTTTCTGCTGAATCAAATCAGTTCAATTTTTGATATGTTTTAGAGGCAAACCTTCTTCACTAAGCAAGTGTATTTTTGTTGAATGGGAGAAAGAATTTGAAAGAAAAAATTTTTACACTAGAAATTCTCGAGTATGACCGAATTCCAAGTAAATTTCAATTTATTGTAAAAAGCTTACAATTCAACAAAACAATCTACGCATGATAGAAAACGTTGAGCAGATTCAATACTTTCTTGATAACCTTCTGGAGTTCGTTAAAACCTCGACAAGGTCTAAGTGTGGAATCAATCACTGATTGCACTGTCTATTGGGACAACCTCCCAATTTTTCCTTGAATTTGACAAGTTTCTCTTCCATATTCCTGGCTCTTTTTCCTGCCTGAAGGTTTTCCTGCCTTTTTCCATAGTGTTTCGATGACGCTCAGGACATGTGACTGAATTGGTCGCTCCGTTAGAAGCATGCCATGCTGGCGAAACCGCTCCTTCACAGTGGATGCGATGCTTTCGGTTGCAACATTGCTAGAAGACAAAGATATTAGCGTACAATTGCCATGGGATTTGATAGAACACACTTTCTAGAGCCTGACTGCACCCGTCTGCCTTCAGCGCTCACATATTCTGTAAAGTTGTCTGACTGTGAAGTGTAGAAGATAGCAAAGGGTTAACGCACTCCTGAACTGGAGATCAACATAGCGCTCCAACTTCATCTAGAGCGACGAGAGTGAATTTATGATGTCTGTCGGCGACAGCAATCAGCATGTATGGGGTAATGACGAGAAGCGTTTGAATCCAAAGGATCAGCTGCCATCCTTATAACTTGAACGAGACTCGGTTATGGTAGTTCTTGGAAGAAGCTCTACCGCTGCAGAGGATTCGCATGGAGGCGGACGTACAAATAATCAAGATTCAGCCAGTTTGTTGCAGGACTTATGGACCAACCTAATATTTATTGCCTCAAGAGGTGCAGCTCAATGATGGTTACTCTTATAGTGATAGGAGGTCGCCCCTTAACCCCCTCGAGAGGGTGGTCGCAACAATTCCAAAAAAAGGCGAATGTGACGCTTCACCGTGACTCGGCTGCCGAGTGTTACCTAAATCCTCTTCACCGATTGCTGTCTGCAGAATGAAATATGTTTCTATGAATTACCAACACAAGAATAATGTCTACAGACAACACTTTAGCTCGTGCTCCACCGCGCGTATCAAATGTACAGTCAGCTAACCCCTTTTCTGAAGTAACTTATTTCTTACCGGTGGAACCTAGCGCTCCACCGGCTGCCCAGTATCACCGAAACCTGCGGTGTCATGCGCGGGGTAGTGCGGAGCTAAACTGGTACTATATATTTGTTTTTCCTTTCACAAGTTAATTTTGCCAACACTCCCAAAATGTAGCGTAGACTTTGACGTGAATGATACATTTGGCAATAAAATGAGCTTACAGAAACAATAACATAGTCGAACGGCATAACAAAATCTTCTAAGAAAATCATGACAGCTTCATTTAACGTTCATAAATAGTTACAATCGATGCCGTACATTGAAAGCCTTTAACTTTTCATTGCGCTGATGTGCAGCACTCCATTCTTGTCTAGATTGCTCTTCAGGGTTTTCGTATTCACACCCTTCGGTAATTTATAGCACCTGCAATAATTTCTATACAGTTTTAAATATTATAGTTTGCAGTCCATAATAAAATTTCAGTTTGAAACCTTTTTGACAGTGCATTAACACAAATCGCCTAGTTTTTTGAAAGCCAAATGTAGGACTACATGTTGCTGCCCCTACTAACCGAACGAATGTGTGAGCTCCCTATTTTATTATTTTGTAGTTGGGAAGTAAATCACCACATATGAAATATTCTGACAGACCAACGCTTATGGTTAGTTGTTTCAAACAAAAGAGCAGCATTGAATACATCGAAAACTTTTATCTATTGTAGCACGTGTTTGCTCTGCACTTGGAACCCCACATCCTTATCCTGTGCTTGTGATCGTAGACCTACCTCATTGCGGGCTTACACTTACAATGAGGAAGGTAAGCAGAGTACGATGGAGAAGCATTTCGGAAATTTTGATTAATTTCAGTAGCTGATGTAGGCTTATCTTTTAAAAAGGTCAGCTGCTATTACAAAAATGATTTTAAAGATGCGCTTCGATATCCTCCCTTTCCGAATACCATGATTTAGGGTACCGTGCTTGAATGAACATTTTCGACACTATCCACTATCACAATCCTGAAAAACCCAAGAGAAATAAATGTCGAAAAGTGGCAAATAAGGGTAATTTTTCTGTTTTGACAACGAGCACCGGCCCCATTTGGCACAATTTTGAAGCAGTGCCTGTTTTTCTTGAAATCCGCTTGCAATAATATTATTTATGTATAGTGGGTAATTTGTTATCCTGATAAAGCACACGACGCTCGTTTCGCGTACTTGCCAACAATTTGGATAAAATTACCAGCTGCCAATTTTTGCCACTTTTTTGCCAATGGCTCGGGCCCTTACCTTACTCTTCCCCCTGCCCCCACGGAAGTTAAGAGAACCTGTATTCATAGCATCCATCAAACCAATCCACCATTGTCTTTTTTTCACCTATATGAATCAGCCCTTATGAGGATGTTCAGCGGACTGCTGCCGGCGTCAGAAACGAATTCCTCCATCACAGTATAGTTGTAATATCCCCCACCAGTTTTGTCCTCCGATTATGATCTTTTTTCTTTCGAAAAGCGCTTAACGCCTTCTGTTGTGCATTCATTTGTGAAGATCACATCGTGAAGGAAATGCGTATGCACAAAAAGGTGAGTTGTATAGTGAAGGACCTCATCTCATGCACGAAACCAGCATATTATAGAATGCAATGTTGTCTATGTATGTGAGAGAAGATGATTGCTCCCTCATAAACACCCTCTCAGAAAAAATTCTCCTGGGGTTACTTGATAACGGCATGTTTCAACATGGTGCATGGGAATTGGGCAAAAAATTGCGTATGCTCTATTGAAAGCTTCTTTACTTCTGGGAGTGCATTCCATTGCGATGATACTGCAAGACACTATGCATAATAAGAAGACAATTTTGAAGTAGAAATCTAAAGAACGCTGTTCACTAAGTGCCGCAGCAACTTCCAGAAGTTTGAGACAAGTCCTAGGCTCGAAAAACGCAAGCTCTTCGACAATGCGTTGAGTTGAACTCAATAAGAAGTAGCACTAAACTTATAGCGAAGATATCACAATCTCAGTAGCGGAACTACGCAATCGAGCTATCTTTCTTACTCCTCCATCACGCTCGAATTCATTTCCCTTCTGTTTGGTTACTCAAACACAGCGCTAACCAGCGCCAAGGTGTCCAACTGAAGGCAGAACCAGGACAAGTTGAGAATAACTCATAGAGCTGCTCACGGAGGTCGGAGTGGTCTCCTACGGCTCTACGGCGCGCATCGAGGTCGCTGACGACTCACAAAAACTTTTTTAACCGCTTCAGTATGGTTTCTTTCGCAGCATGCTGGTGCCCGGGAGACGTGCGTTTCTCCTCCTGGGGTCAGGTCACCACAGTTGCGCGATCATTGAAGCTTAAGGTTAAGTTTGGGTTTAGACTTAGGTTAAGGCTTATGCTTACACATTGGCTTATGCCTAAGCCTATGATTGGGCCTAGGCTTAGTCCTAAGCTTGCTCCGAGCGAATGAACGGCGTCTCAATTTTAGGTGACCTGACCCCAGGATGAGAAACGCTACGCACCCATTTAGCGTTTCCGACGAACTATCCTTTTTCTTTTTACTGCTAGCCCACCTCGCACCGACCATTTTCATCTGGGGAACCGCACCAGTTTGGTTCTATGGTGTGCCTCTATCGGACACTGCTATGCGCTCGGACTTCTTAAGTTCTTAAGTAACTTCTTAAGTTTTTTACTTGTTCATTTTCCAACTTTTCATTTTGGATCTTCCATTCTCGGAATCTTTATTCTAAAAAATTACTTGATGGACTTTTTCTGCTCCATGTACTACGTACCGGGTTATACTTCTGCTGATGTTGAAGGTATCGTCACCGCGTGCCTCATGATCCATGTGAATCTCCAGCAAATCACCGACTGTTTTCACCTGTAATTATGCACCAGCTAACTATATCTAGAAATATCCACAACTCCGCAACACTATTCTCCAGCGAATTTCCTTTGGAACAGCATACCTGAATTTCTTTCGGAGTGAACATTTTCGCGTCCAAATCAACTTCGAAATGTGTTGAATCGTCGATCACCTGCAAACTGAGCCTTATTTTGTGACAACAACCTATGGTAGATAACCGAGGCAAAGGCAGCATAGCGCTACACTTTCATGATCTGGAACAAACTAGAGAGGGTCATCGATAAAACAAAGGGGTTAGGGTTTGGCTTGGACCCATTCGCTTTGTGGCTGACGGGGGGAGGATATCGGTGTCAGTTTGTTTTCCGTAAGGGCACGTGCGAAACGGAAGACAAAATTCATTGAAAAAAACCTCTAATTAATTTGTTACATTCTTTGTATTAATTTCATTTACATTTACTTTGTGATTTGAATGTCTACTTCTCGTGCCATTGCATAAGCCTCGGACATATTCTGAAATCTCCCTTAAGGCTGAGAATTTTTCAGAATGCGTGCGTGCCTCATGCGATGACATTGGAGTGTATTAGAATGCGTGGCGCATTTCACGAAAAAGTGTTCGTTTTCAATTATGTCGTCATTCCTTTATTGGCCACCAGTGACGATAAAAATCACTAACCTTCACAAAATCATCGTTTGTCTGGAGAGGCCAGTCCCACTGAACATCCTTACTGTATTCAACAGGAATGCTCATTTTCGTCACGATAAAACAAGTTAAGTTCTAAATTACAAAATTGATAATTGAACATTAATAAAACTAATATTTAGGTTGGAAAATCCAAATCGAGAACAGGCACGACGAGAAATTGGAAGCAAAACTAGACAATCAGATCACTTCGAAATAAGGACGCTTTCTCAGAGCGCTATAAGCCTAAGAGTTCCATGTTATACTGATCCCAGAAGATGTTGACCTACGATTCAAAACGGCTGTTCCTGATCAGCTCTAGCGCTTTTATACTAGCACTGAGGGCGTTGCGTCCCGTCAGCGACAACGGCACATTCCACTGAGCAACAGGTATGAAAACACTCATGGATGAAAGAGTCACGAGCTTTACTCTCTCGATATCCACAGACAGTCCGAATCCGAGCGCGCCTGCTGTTGACCAAGCACCAATGGTACAACAAGATGTAATTACTACGGCAAGATAGGCTAGCACTTGCTGAAAGTTGAGTGTACTGACAAAGCTTCTCATATTACAAAATTATGATTACAAGATTCAATTGCGAAAGCAATATGTGCCATTTTTATGCTTCGAACTACCATCTGTTCCACACATGAAATGCCAACCAGCAGTGTAATCAGTGTCTCATTTAAGCGTTGGAATTGCCATGAAATGGGTCCGCTCCAAAAATCCAGTGACTGCTATGTTAGTTATCCACAACGTCCTATGTTATTAGTTAATTGTCCGCTTACGTTTCATATCGGAAGTCAGAACAAAGTTCAGGCAAAATGTAACTGATCACCTTGACCAAGCAGAATGACAGCTGCATAAAAATGTCTGCATTTCTATGTGGAAGAATCATGCTCTTTCGCAGTGCAAAATATGGCTTTTCCGAGCCTGATTATTGCGCCATTGACATTCGCTCTGGGAGCCGCTTGTTCCTGAGTAGCTACCACATTTTCTTACATTTTCGTTGACAATAAGCGCTGTTGCGAGGTGTGATACTGGCTTGTGAGCGGAAAGCGGCTCGGGAAACGTGTTTGAAAGAAATTTGCTGCACCAGAAGGAGTCATGAATACGAATTACTTATTATAGGCTACGGCTACAAGTACTAGAAAAAATATGATTTCTCATTGGCCCGCGCAATGACCTGTTGCACGGTCCTCCGAATAGGAGCTGTGGAACAAACTACCGGTCACAAGCGTTCGCCGACGGCTTTTCGTGCATCGCTTTTTTCTTTCGAATATTTGGAATTTTCAGATATAGCAGATCAATATTCCAATCTAACTGATCAAGTTAAGAGAATTGTGCACGGGAAACTGTTCCAGCGATAGCTATTGAACGCTTTTGTAGGAAAGGCATGCCCCAGGATCAAATTGATGTGGTTTTTGCATATGAGAAGTTTTGGTGCGAAATGGGCCGGCAGTAAAAAAAGGAACATAGGTTAAGGGCCCACCGTAATCGGCTACGCAGAGGCAATGGAAGACTAAGTGTGGGACGGAAAATATTGGGCGAGAGACTGCAACAGATGAGAGGGTGCCGACAGCAGCCTTATGAAAAAATTTGCAGCTTCAGCAGCTTACTTTGCGAGGCCCGACCGTTCTTGTTAGGTTACCTTTGTAGATGAGAATGCCATATCTCTATTTGCCCTATAGAACTCTATCCTACTGTGCGGAGAGAAGCGCTCACATGACTGCTGCCTGGCTTGCACCTTCATGAAACAAATAATAAACAGCGTTGAGAAACTATGAACCGAAACCTTGATGGATGTGACAAACGGAACCACGATCTATCTATTAAGGGATCTGTTCTTCTTGAACTTATCCACATCCACAAGGGTAACTGTATCAATGTCAAAGCTTTCAGCATTGCGGTCATTGCCGACGTCAACGGTTCGACACGTTGTACGTGTGAGTGCTGACAAGCTATGGTAAGTATACCATGAAAAGCTGACCAGGAAAGGTCATTTGGTCAACCCGGCCAATTGAAATGAGATGTATATGTGTATACGCGCCTTGGGACGCTGAGCTCAAATATGTGTTCCTTATCTGCTGAACTCTTCTCTGAAAGGAATTATGAAGCAGAAAAGCGCAGGGGCTGTGGTCGAGGCTCACGAAAAAGAGGTCAGGGGATCGACTCCCTGGCGAGTTTGTTCTTTTGCCGTTTGCAGTAAGATAGCTAGGAAGATTCCTAACATCGCTAGTCCAACATGCTTGCGTATAGTTAACAGTACAAAGAATTTAAGGGCAATTAATAACGAACTTGGGCGGCATCGCTCCTCACTACTTTGGGCGCTTGTAGGCGCCAGGCATTTTTGCTTCGAACAAGTATGATATTCGTAATCAGGGAGCCAGACTCTCCCTTTGAGCAAACTTCTAGCGAATTCTGAAATTTTGACCTAACCTCGAAAATTTGGGCAGTCACTTACTCACCGATCCACCAATCCATTACAAAAGGCTGGCACTTGGGTAGAATAAACCTTTTAAACACTTTTCATAATAGACAAAAATTGTGTCTGGCTTGCCCGTCTGCATCATCCAAAGATCTGCAAAGCATTATTTCCTAATACAACACCTTCTCCCCTTTCCCCGTCGTCCATGATTGGTCAACCCAAAAAAGTGGAGTTTGAGGAGTGGTAATCCCATCACTGCTCCGCTTTTTCTCAATTAGTTCATGACCTCAGGTTTGGCGAAAAACTCGTTTTAGGGGTAGTTTGATCCCCTGAATACGAATATCGTACCTACTTGCCACGGAAAAGCATAGCACCTGCACTACGGGCACCATGGGCACTCACAGACAAGTAGTGCTTAAACTTAAGAGGATCTGCTTGCAAACTCTTCGTAGATGTAGCGTCGGGCGACCGTTGATAAAATAACGGATTCAAAAAGGCTTTTCAGCCATGTTGGAAAAAAGCAAAACACCAAACCCGGCAGCGGTCGAACCCGTGACCCCTAACATGAGAAGCAAGACCGCTATTGACTCCGCCACCGAGGCGAAAAGAGATTTGAGTTTAGCGTCTCATGTTGCGTACAGAAATGTGCACCTCATTTCATCTGGCTGGGTTGGCCTAATGACCTTTCCTTTTGAGTTGGAATGAAATGGTGCCCCGGTAGCGTAACTGGTAGCGCACTTGCCCGGAAAGCGAGAGGTGCGGGTTCTAGTCCCGCCTGGGGCGAAAGTTTTGTTCACAACCCAGCATTCTTGTGTAAGTGTACAATATTTTCTATTATACGTCCTAAGAAGGAGCTTCTATTGAGGCCAGAAAGCTATGTGTTTTTGATTTTAAACACTGAACTGGAGCTGCTATGCAAGCAAATTGTCAGCTGTTATGAAAAGAAAAGAAACTGAATGGTGAAATTCAGAACTGTTTAGAGGGCTATTTGATGTGCTCGATTCAAATCTCGATCTCCACCTCTGTGTAGCTCCATCAAACTGGTTCTCGTCTGCAATTTTCGAGACATTTCCATTGCAAATCGACAGAGCAGATTTGAAAGCAAACAAAAATGCTATTAGACTGAGTTATCAAATAGAGTTCTTGCTGTAATCCTCATGCCTGCTCACGTCGATGCTTTCTTGTCCCGAAGAGAATTATAATGTAATGAAGACGAGCCGGACGAGTAAAAGAACTAAGCGTCTACGGGGCTCGCAGCTGTTGTTTACTACATCGAATCATTGTTTATGCGGTCACAACTAAAAATGCTTCGAAGACATCAGCAAGTCAGATCTCTGCTCGCACCATTCTGTACGGCATGATCGCGACACAGCTGTTGTTGACAAACAACTGCAACGCGCAGAGACCGACGCTAATCTCTCGCGAAAATACGAGACAGATCGCATTTTTCACAGCAAAGACCATGGCAAAACAAGAAATGTCGAAGCGGCAGCATTGCTTGAGCATAAAAGTTCCCATATCCATCTGTGCAACATTGGCGGGAAGTAGGGTATCTCACATGTGGCTGTTAGCCAAGTGTTGATGGTATAAAAAAAGCCAGCTTCTTTAAGGTTCTTATCAATTCTCTCACACGTCAACCTTTACTAGCAAAGCACACCGAACTACTGTCAGCTCGCTCGTGGATCAGACCTGCTACACGCACTAAAATTTTCCTGTATTTTCCTGTAGGCAGGTGAAGCGCAAAATGAAGGATATATCGGAAGATAGTTCAGCAGCCTTCTTTGTACATGGCAATATTTCGGAGCTTAACAAATTCCGAGCCTGAATCAACTGCATTTGGATATTTGGCTAAAATACAACTAACTTTTATGTCATATCTATTGATATTTATACTTTATTCCACAACCGGATTGGTCAACCGACAACCGCCGGACCCTCCCCTCCCTGCGTACCTTTGCTTTCCTCCTTCTCACCTTATCCTCCCCTCCTCCCCCTCTGCTCTCCACCTCACTTGTGAAATGACTGAAATCTGTACTGAGTAGGTGTTTATACAGCCGTTGGGGTATAATCACAATCTTGTTGCAATAATACCTCAGCACCGGATCGGTCCATAATCTTGAAAGCGTTCACTCTTGCTTCTCTTCTTCTAGATAACCAACTGAAAGTCTCCAAGGCGCAAAGAAGGTAAGACCTGGGCTAAGTGAGGTTTGCAGATGTTGACGAGACGTAAAAAAGCCATCACGTCATCGAAAATGACAGTTCATACCCAGGCATGCCTTCGCATTTTTGTAACTCACTTGCAAGCCGATGGTTCTTCACCGGCATACCTTTACTAACAGCTGAATCTCGTATTTCTCGTTTTCCAGCCCACTACACGGACAGTTAAACAAACGGTCGGGAGTATTTACATGATCAAAGAGCTCTAACGAAAGAGCCGGGTACCACTTATCAGACTCGGAAGCTAATCAAGGAGCATCGAGATGTTAGTAAATACCAGGGTGCACTTTTTCTTAGAACGGGATTCTCGTGAAAGGCACAATCGAGAACGCCGCAACCCTGTAGCAACGAAGCGGAGAAAATTTAACGACGGCAGAAAGAATTGACTGTTATGCTTAACGAGTCGAAGGCAAGGGATTCTAT